CCCATTTGAATGCAGAGTTCCAAAGAATAGCAAGGAGAGATAAGAAAGCCTTCCTCAGTGATCAGTGCAAAGAAATAGAGGAAAACAATAGAATGGGAAACACTAGAGATCTCTTCAAGAAAATTAGAGATACCAAGGGAATATTTCATGCAAAGATGGGCTCAATAAAGGACAAAAATGGAAACAGAAGATATTAAGAAGAGGTGGCAAGAATACACAGAAGAACTATACGAAAAAGATCTTCATGACCCAGATAACCACGATGGTGTGATCACTCACCGAGAGCCAGACATCCTGGAATGCTAAGTCAAGAGCGCCTTAGGAAGCATCACTACGAACAAAGCTAATGGAGGTGATGGAATTCCAGTTGAGCTACTTCAAATCCTAACAGATTGAGTGTGAAAGTACTGCACTCAATATGCCAGCAAATTTGGAAAACTCAGCAGTGGCCACAGGACTGGAAAAGGTCAGTTTTCATTCCAATCCCAAAGAAAGGCAATGCCAAAGAACGCTCAAACTACCACACAATTGCGCTAATCGCACATGCTAGCAAAGTAATGCTCAAAATTCTCTAAGCCAGGCTTCAACAGTATGTGAACCATGAACTTCCAGATGTTCAAGCTGTATTTATAAAAGGCAGAGGAACCAGAGGTCAAATTGCCAACATCCGCTGGATCATCGAAAAAGTAAGAGAATTCCAGAAAATCATTTATTTCTGCTTTATTGACTACTCCAAAGCCTTTGACTGTGTGGATCACAGCAAACTCTGAAAAAATTTTTCGAGAGATGGGAAAACTAGACCACCTGACTTGCCTCCTGAGAAATCTGTATGCAGATCAAGAACCAACTGTTAGAACTGGACATGGAACAAAAGACTGGTTCCAAATCAGGAAAGGAATACATCAAGGCTGTCTATTGTCACCCTGCTTATTTAACTTATATACAGAGTACATATTATGAAATGCCAGGTTGGATGAAGCACAAGCTGGAATCAAGATTTCTGGGAGAAATGTCAATAACATCAGATATACAGATGACACCACCTTTATGGCAGAAAGCAAAGAACTAAAGAGCCTCCTGCTGAAAGTGAAAGAGGAGAGTGAAAAAGTTGGCTTGAGGCTCAATTCAGAAAACTAAGATCATGGTATCTGGTCCTATCACTTTTGGCAAACAGATGGGGAAACAATGGAAACAGTGACAGATTTTATTTTGGGGGGCTCCAAAATCACTGCAGATGGTGGCTGCAGCCATGAAATTAAAAAACGCTTGCTCCTTGGAGGAAAAGCTATGATCAACCCAGACAGCATATTACAATGCAGAGACATTACTTTGCCAACAAAGGTCTGTCTAGTCAAAGCTATGGTTTTTCCAGTAGTCATGTATGGATGTGAGAGTTGGGCTATAAAGAAAGCTGACTGCCAAAGAATTGATGCTTTTGGACTGTGGTGTGAAGACTCTTGTGAGTCCCTTGGACTGTAAGGAGATCCAGTCAGTCCATCCAAAAGGAAATCAGTCCCGAATATTCTTTGGAAGCACTGATGCTGAAGCTGAAACTCCAATATTTGGCCATCTGATGTGAAGAACTGACTCATTGAAAAAGACCGTGATGCTGGGCAAGATTGAAGGTGGGAGAAGAAGGGGACATCAGAGGATGAGATTGTTGGATGGCATCACTGACTCAATGGAAATGAGTTTGAGTAAGCTCTGAGAGTTGGTGTTGGACAGGGAAGCCTGGCGTGCTGCAGTACATGGGGTTCTGAAGAGTTGGACACGACAGAGCTACTGACCTGAACACTATGAGACGTGTGTCAGGCCCAATACTAGTTTTCCCATGTCTAAGCAAACCAGGAAGGCGGACCAGAGTCAGATGAGAAAGCATTAAGAATTAAGCAGTGATTAGGACAGACTTCCATAAGGAATCTTTGGGTAGAAGGTAGCAATAAAATGAAACGATAGACGAAAGGAAACCAGGCCAATGAAAGGAAAAAAAAATTATTTTACATATTGAGAGTGAAATAGAAGAATCCAGTGAAGATGGAGAAATGAACACAGTGCCAAGCAAGGTCCAGGAGAAGGCAAGAAATTAGAGACGAGTACCGCCCGTGGGGTAATTTAGGGGGTGAGTCATGGAAAGTGGATGAACAGTTCTCTGAAGTAGGCAGAAGGGAGCAGGGTGTTATAACACGCGTTCCCTCTCTTTAATATAATAGACGTGAACGCAGCAAGAGTCTAAGGCTATGAGACAAGAATACACATTTCCTACAGAAAAATTGAACAGAGTGCAGACCAAATATCTGGAAGTTTTACCAGCTAGATATAAACACTGATTAATACAGAAGAAATATATATTTCAGTGGAGTGGTAGATGCACATGTGAGAAATAGATTTCAATGTTAGCAAAACAGTGAAATTTGTATAGCATATATATTTTAAGAACCAAGAATCTAATTATGTCCAAAAATAATACAAAGCTTCTATAGTCTCTAGTTGTTTAAAAAAATACAAATTTTTTTCTGTTGCTTAAATTTATAACAAAACAAACTTCAACACCTTGATTTGGCATCTCAAGGTCAAATACAAAAAGAAATGTATGAAAACATTTATTGTACATAAATCTGTTACATTTTACACTGGAGAGGAAAAATGGTGCACATTTTTCCTTATCATGGAAGTCATTATCATAAAATTCAGGTTATGAAGATGGAAGTGTGGCAAGAAATGTCACATTACAATGGAGCACTATGTTTCAGAAAACCATTCATTAGAAAGAAAACAAATGAATGTTTTATGCTACTTGCCAAGTGAGAAAACTTTAAATGAGACTATTTAAAATAACAGGACCATAAATATTGTTGTTAACCTTTTTAGTCCCCCAAAGTATGGGCCTAACTATTGATAATATAAAAATATGTACTTTTTTTCTTTTCTTTTAATTGAAGCAACAGGGATTCACTGTATAACACAGGGAATAATACCCAATATCATGTAATAACTTACAGTGGAATATAATCTTCAAAATACATATTCTTGATGCCTGGCAATAGTAGGTCCCACCACAACTGGGTCTGTGCAGTCAAGATGAGCAAGCCTACCAGTAGTTTCCAGAAAGCAGAGCAAACAAACAAGCTTACATGGCCCAAAATGCTTCCACTACACCAGTGAGAGGGCCACGGTTCCTGTTCTATTACAGGCTAACCAGACTGCCCATGTATTGATATAAGCAATCCTACAGGCCTCAAACCATATTTATGAGAAAAACTTTCATGACTATAAGCCCTATTTACTTGGGGGCCCAAATCCCAAACTGAAAGTATCCTAAACATTCAAACCAATATATTAAAAATGGATAGAGAAGATGGTAACCATGGAGGCCCAGCCACTATAGTGCCCACCATATAGACTTACTGAGGCCAGAATAATTTCTGGAGTAAATCTCTGCAGATAGAAAGCAGTTCTACTGGAAACTACAGTCTCAGGGCCAAGTTGGAAAACCAACATTTTTTTCAGTGAGGCTAACAGCTGAAGTGATACCTATCAGTTCCAGGTTGAGCAGGCAGACAAGTAGCGACCAGGAGAAGAGAAAAGAGCAGGGAAAGCATGAAGGTTTGCTGAAGCTCAAAGCTGGTCTGAGAGGCAATGAAGGACTAAGACAGGGAATGACACCTGGTTGATAGAGAAACCTCTTAGTTGGAAATTTCAGAAGTAACACACATGCTTCCTGTGAGCCAATTCAAGAGCAAAGCTGCACATAAAATGAGAAGTAGAAATCTTGGAGCTGGGCAACTCAGGACATGTAAAAACTGAACAAGACAGAGAAAGCTACAGAGTCCATGCGGAGGTAAACCAGTGAGCTGACTAATGACCGGCTGCAAAAGAACAGGCAGGAAGTGCTATAAAACCCGGGGGGGCAGGAGTTAGTAGCCACAGTCACAGAGGAAGAAGAAAGGAAAGAGAAGCAAGCTGATTCTGATTTTTTTTCTTTCAATAAAGTTTAAAAATAAAAATGAAAATCAGATTCTGATTTTTTTTTTCTTTCAAAAATATTTATATTGTTAACTATGGTGGACAAGGTGGGAATAAAAACTGAAAACAGCTTTACCTTTATAATCTTTAAGGCCTCTGGACCTCATGTAATGTTTAAGAGTAATGAAGAATCATCGGTAACGAAGGATTCAGTTGACTTTCTGGTCCTTCCACTGACCAGGCTAATGTACCTGGGAATCCCTGACAAGCTTTTTCCTTAATTCTCTGTCACAAATCATTTAAAAAGAAAGTAACTGGGACCAAACTCCATGAATTTGGAACAGCTATCAGAACTTGACCCTAGCCTCACACTCCCAAACAACACAAACATCCAATTTCTAGAAAATCACTTACGATGAAAAAGTAAGTACTATAAGATTTAGCAGTTTTCAGAGATTTTTAACCACACTTATCAATAACCATCTGCATAGAAGTGTAGCATATATGATTTTATGGTTATTCTGTAGATGCAGAGAAAGCCAGTTCACCTATGAGCTAAACAAACATATCACATACTAATGACATGTACAAATAGGTCATTAACTTCTATGCCCTCAGAAGCACTCTTAATTGTCAGGAGCATTTGAATAAACACAACATAACTTGAAGAACTTCCTAGGGGAAAGCGACAGCGGAGGTTAGATGACCCAATTTATAGATTAGAAAACCAAGGCACAGAGAAGTTAAACGTCTCAGTAGAAGACCTCACAGCTGGTTAGTGGCTCGGCTGGGATAAGAGCACCACTGTCTCAAGCCTTTCTTCAATGATCTAACCCCAACCCCACTGCAAGATGCAAATATCCAGCAGAACTGGGCTAGAGTTTCCAATAAGTAATAAGACTTTATGCTCTTTTTGAAATGTGAAGTGAGATGACAGAATCAGAAAGAAGAGCGAGCAGAAATTAAGAAAAAATTATTTGCTTGATATAAAATATTAATTTTTTAAAAAATAAAATAATATTAATTTAAAACTATACCTTTACTGCTTCTGATGAAAGTACATTTTCCTTTTTCTGACTTGTGCTCATGGGCTCATTTTCAACACTGGAAAAAAAAACAGTTTTTTTTGAAATTAAAAGAGAATCACTAAAATCGTGTTTAATGCAAAAACTGAAAGCTCCTTTTTATCTGTAGTGCCCAAAAGATTCACATACAAAGTGTTACACTAAGAAGCTATTGATTTGAGTGTCTACATTTGAAACACACATTCAAAAATGCTCATCAGGCTCCATACATTTTGGTGAGTCCATTCTGTTTTCTGACCAGCATCACACCAACGATGCACCTGAACAAAGCGCACCAGTGTACAACTATCATACTCTTGGAAAGTATTGGCACTCTTTGACTCTATTTACATTAAGCTTCTCCACAGTCTTTTTTTAATCCTATGCTAAGAGTTATTTGAAATATATTTCTACTCAACAAATTTTTATAAACATACAGGGTCATCTAGAGATTTCTGGGAATACTTAAAAGAGATGCAAAAAAAAAAAGAAAGAGAGAGAGATGCAGGTTTATCTAATCCCAAGTATGTTCTTGGGCTTCCCCTTGTGGCTCAGACAGTAAAGAATCTGCCTGCAACATGGGAGACCTGGGTTCGATCCCTGGGTAGGGAAGATCCCCTGGAGGAGGGCAGGGCAACCCACTCCAGTATTCTTGTCTGGAGAATCCTCATGGACAGAGGAGCCTGGCGGGCTGTATAATCCAAGGAGTCGAAAACAGTTAGAGACGACTGACACAGGTGTGTCCCAGATGGTGTCTTAAATTTCTGATTTTCCAGATAGTCACTTTTAACCGTCTTGTCTGGTATACCTTCACAGATGTCTTATAAGATGTCATAACAACCTATTTTGCCTATTAGGTACATATACATTTTAGATCTAAATAATTAACTCTTTACATCGACATGTTATTTTGTTTTCATACTTTCATAATCTGAGACAAATTGAGTAGCTCCACTCTAAAGATTATTGTGGCACTGTACCATATACTGGGAATCGTGCATGGCCTTGAGGATTTAAGAACAAGTAGGTCAGGACCTTCGTAAAACAAGGTCTAATGGGGAGGCTGATAAACAAACTACAGCCTGGTACAAGTTATAACTGCCGAATGAATGAATGAAGTGCCACGGAGCACAGAGGAAGCAAGAGGCAGAGACTCTGCCCGCTCAGTCAAGTGCCCATGTAGGAGCTACAAAGGCGGGGGTTGATAATGATACAGTATTTGGGGGGGTAGCTCAGTCGATAAAGAATCTGCCTGCAATGCAGGAGCCGTGGGTTCAATTCCTGGATTGGGAAGATCCTCTGAGGAAGGAAATGGCAACCCACTCCAGTATTCTCGCCTGGAGAATCCCATGGACAGAGGAGCCTGGCAGACTACAGTCCATGGGGTCGCAAGAGTCAGACATGACTTAGCAACTAAAACACCACCACCACCAAGTTCTGTGTGTTTGTTTTTAAGATAAGACTGAAGCACAGGATCTTGTGACAGGCAGAGATAATCCTGCTAGAGATGAGAATGAGAACAGAGGTTAGAGGATGCCTGACCAAGAAGAACCTGTCTGACCCATCACAGAATGTGACCTTTGTTCTGCTAGCACTGGGAAGCCTGCAGGCAGGAGAATGACTGGGTGGGGAAAAACACAGGGATGGAATCGTGGTGACTGGCAGGGCAGGCAATGGAAAGGGGGCTTCCACAGCTCCCATTAGGATACTAAGCAAGGACACCATTTGTGCTACTTAAGATTTTCTATCCATACAATCCAGTACAATTGAGCAGACTATCCAGGCAACAAATGACAATGATTTAAAAAAAAACAGAAGGAAAAAATAGATCATGAACACCCGGAAAATACAATGGATTCAAATTTCATTCAGTCTCAGACTCTATGCAGGAAAATAAGGACGGAAAAGATACAGCCAAGCTCAAATGCCAGTAAGAAAAATTAAGCATGTAAATAAATACATAAGCTACGTGTTTAACATATGAAAGCTCCATAGGGGAAAAATAGGGACAAAAGTAGAAAAAAAATGTACAAGTCAGAATTGTAACCTATATACATGGACATGGCTATAAAATAATGTCTCAAATGGTTAACATTTTAAATGTGAGTGGGTTATCTTTGTTTTTTCCTGTTTTACTGGGCTTATCTTTTGCCACAAGGTTATTTATAATTCAGTTTTTTTTTTTATTAAATGTCAATACTTGTCTGTCTAAGCTCAAATCAAAAACAGACTGGCAAAATACACATAAAAAGAGCATGATATAAACATTTGGGGTATAATCATGAATATTACTGACCTTGGTGATTTGATAAGTGTATTTTCTAACTACAATCTATTCTGAATCTAGTTAATTTCTAAATATAATCTATCTAAATATACAATAGACAATTTAGTATCCTAGTTCAAGATTTCCAAAAGTATACTTTTTTAGAGTGTTCTCAGGGTACTCTATAAGCTTGGAGAATGAAATGGCAACTCACTTCAGTATTCATGACTGGAGAATTCCATGGACAGAGGAGCCTGGCAAGCTTCAGTTCACAGGGTCACAGAGAGTTGGACATGACTGAACGACTAACACTATAAGCTTACTGCCTTACTGAAATTGTATATGAAAACAGTAAAAAGTGTCTTTCCCAATATAAAAGCTCTGCAGAAAATGCAGCTCAGGGTACATGGGATTTAAGGCAGAAGTTAGGATTTTCAAGTAGCTATAATTAATTCCACACTGTAAACACACACAAAATGCAAAAAAAAAAAAAAAAAAAAGTTTTAAGTCAGAACATAAGTATTCTGCATTGCGCAAACAACGGAAGAATTTAAAGCTGAAATCACCAAGAGCAGTTAATACTTGACACTTTGTAGAACTTGTTGAAATTTATATCCTAAGGTTTACCTTTCACGAATCTTATCACTAAACCAAAATTTTTAAATGGTCAAGTTTCAAAACAAACAACATTTTAAAATTCTGGATTAAGTAGAAAAATCACTGCTTCTGTTAAAGCTTTCCCCACGTCCTTCCTGGATGTCTGGAGCCCCTTCTCCATTCATCTCTGACATCCTCCGGATGGCTCTGGTTCAATCCATTCTTCTTAGACACAGTGATCATTAATCTGATCATGATACTCTCCTGCTCAAAAACTCCTTCAGTGATTCTCCATCAGCTGATGAATGAAATGAAGAGTCCTTAGTGTAACTATAGAAAGTTCTTCATGACCTGGTTGCAGACGCACCTGTCACCTAGAACCCCATTCTCAGAACAAACCAAATTCACATACCAGCAAACTACTTTCTCCTCCTGCCTGCAACACGCTTCCCCACCCTGTCCAACTCCTAATCCTTCCCAATTGATTTCTAAGTTAACCTGTAATTTTTGTGCCCCCACTACACAGAGTGAAACCCCTCATGCATTCCTGCTAGTAATTACCATAATAGCTGGCTGGTTGTCCATTTGTCTAACTAGATGTGAGCTCATATAACCCAGGGACCGTATCATTCATGGCTGTATCCCAAAGCCTGGCATCGCGCTCGACACTCACTGTTTGTCAGATGGACTGTAAAAATAACTGCTATCAAACATTCTGTTTGTGTGTGCCTAATCAGAAAACACTGTGCCATTAAGGACAATATAATAATACACAGTAGGCCTTTTTCCTTAATGGCATACTAGTATGTGAGTCTCTTGAAAGAATGTACCATCCACTCTCATCCAGCAACAACTTTCTCAAAAGATATAAAAGAGAGAAGTCGGGCTGGGAGAAGATTACTCAATAGGAACAAGGGTATTTTCAACTGACTTACAAACCACACAAAAATTAGGACAGGATTCATAAAGATACTTGAAACACTGGATATTTAGATGTCAGCCTAGATTAAAAAAAGAAGGAAAGAAGGAAAAGGAAAAGAAGAACTATTAACAGAAAAGTCTCAAAAGGCTTGGACTGGTACTCTCAGACTCAAAAATAAAATACAAGAGAAAGAAAAACTTTTCAAATTCAGATGATCTAAAGGTCTTAAGAAAGTCGACAAGCCTTTCCCATTGTTCTCTCACAATTTAATCCCCTTTGGGACCTGGGAGTATTTCAATAGCAGTATTTTTAGAAAGCACATATTCTGCTCAAGGCAGGGGGTGAGGTGGCAGGCATCATAATCACACATGCACACAAATAAGACTACCTTGAATTTTAACATCCTCATCTAACTTAGCCAACACAACTTGGGAAATTAAATCTAGGTAAGTGTCAAGGTCAGAGAGACACAGAAGCTCCTCATTTTGGATGCAGCCTTATTTAGACCACAGCTGAAAACCAGGAATCCAGTGTACAGCCATTAAGAATCCACTTACTTTATGCCAGACATAAAATAAAACAAGCCTCCTGGGTCATAAAAAAAGGAGGCATATTTACATTCTAAAGCTCAAATAATTTACACAGAGAGTCCCTATCCTGTCACTTAATATATCTTACACTATTACTTTTAATCGAATTCTAACACGATTCCCCAACTCACAGAAAGTGAGGAGGAAACTAGGTCCAAGAACTCAGTCACCAGACATGTCCTTGCACTTCCCAGGTGCCAGACGCTGTTCTTGGTACACTAGGAAATGAGCCGAACACACCAGATGATGCCCTGGCCCTGTTTCCCCAAGAATCCCTCTCTAGAGGCACCGTAATCACTGCACAGTTGCTTATTAAACGGATGTGGGGGCCTGACAGTCGAGGATTCCAGCTGGAGTGGGGCCCAGGAACCCACACTTTCCACAACCGGCCCCCCCTTGCCCGGGTTGTTCAGATGCAGGCCGCCCTCTGATCACGTTCTTGATAAACAACGGTGTGAGAGCCTCTTTACTGAGCTGAAGCCGGCAACTGAGAGTTGCAGAGAAGAGAATGGTCTGGTTGGAGGGAAATCCATTAACATTATTTACATGTGTTCTATGGTGATAATCAAAGGACAGGTGTCAATTCTTTCGAAAGCTCACTCCCGTGAAATAGCACCCATTTTCCAATACTGATGTTCAGCAGAGATGGTCCCAGTGAAGAGCTG